AAAAATCGAAACTTACGTCCAGAAACATTTTTTTATTTTGATTTTTTCAAGATTTATATTCAATTTAAGTTGGAAGATGAGCAAAAAAAATTGCTCAGAAAAGAACTCCGTCCGAAGGCTGCAACCCGAAACAACAAAGTAAAGAGATTTCTCACCGCAAAACTAGAAGTTTCAGAGAGAATCCTTTACCCATTAAGATTTTGAATTCTAAGGATTCCTGCAGCAAGAAAAAATAAATTTTGCCAAAAATTCGTCAAATATCAATTTTCATATCAACATTTTCAGTCCAGATTTGTAAAGAAAATGATAACAAAATGGGGAGATTCAACCTAAAAACATGAAAATGCTTGTTTTGCTTTTTACAGGTTCGCATAGTTTATTTTCAAATCAAGCATCGTCACAAAAAATCAACTGAAAAGCTTGCTTTCACTTTGAAAAAAGACAGCAAAATTATAAGTAGACCATGAAAAATATTGTTTCCCATATGAAAAAAAATGTTCACTTTAGACTGAAAAAAATGATTAACTATAGATTTTGTTGGTAGAAGAGCTTAGTGCTTCAACAAATCTGGTGTCTGTGATCAGAGATTGCTAGAAAATAATGCTACTCAGCGAGTGAAATACGTAACTGAACAGAAACTTTAGTTTACTCTCCTCAAAGACAATCATAGTTTCTGACACTGTACTCGGACTAAAAAGTGCCCGAAGCCACAGTGTGCTGGCACACATAATGTCATGCTCTGTGGAGCCGACAAAATGATTCCTCCGAAGCAAAGTTCGAATGATTCGAATAGAGCTGAGGCAAATAGGTCCATAGAGAATACAAATAGTTCCATACACGACGCTCTTAGTGATGCGCGTGACATGAATCATCTAAAGGGCTGTTGCCGATTGCAACACTTGGTGTGACCTCGGATGTAACCAATCTCTTGACGTTGTCTAATTTTGATAGTGCAACCACACACTCTTAGATGTCTTCGTCTCTCGTTAACCGTCTCAGCTTAGTCGGGGAACCTGTTACTTTTACAAAAAATGTTTTCAAGTCGACCAACGTTTTTTAGACTTAGAATTTCAAATTTTTTGTTTTCTCCGAGCCGAACAATAGCGTTTTAGTGTTCACTCTATGTGCGTAACTTACAAAACAAATTTGGTTCCGAACTAACCAAAATTGTTGATTTGAAGAATAATTATTCACAATCAGCACCTACTAAGCCAACTCAAAATATCTATGAGAACGTTGAAATTATCGAGGAGAAGAGCACTAAGACACTGTAGGACCCATTGAGTATATCATAGGAGACGAAATAAACTCACGGTGTTCCGTTCGCCTCAGTCCGCTGGTACTACTTCTTCTTATATTAAGTGTGTTGTTGAAGTTTCTACTTTGATTGACCAGATAAAATCCTGGTGCGGGTTCGAACCCTATGGGGCTTTCAAACAAGTAGAAACCCGTTCCGCGGCAGATAAACTTCCTTAATTTTGAAACTCTTCATGATGGCGAAAGATACATTGTTTCGATGCTTCGGAATGTGATTCTACCAAATTATTTTTCTGCACTCGACCAAATTGAAACATTGGAGTTGAGTAAAGACCCTAAACTGCTCGAAAGGTATGCAGACACAATTGAAGAGGACACCAGGAAAGACTACATCTTTGCTGTCGATCCGCATGATCCGTGTAAGCGATCCGATCGCAAGTGGTATCTTCCACACCAACCCGTCGTAAGTCCGAAAAAGACCGCGATTCGCCTACATGAGCTACATTTGTCTTGCGAAAAACTTTAAAAGATATTATTTCCACATACCCCAATTTCGCAACAGTCGTAAAAATGAAAGTTTCCTGTGGACTATTACTTGGATTCGTTCGAAGACATGAACTGCTTAGTTGCTGAATTTTCAAAACCGATGAGTACATACTAATAGCTTTGTGATATTTCTCTGTTTGAACCTGTTAGATTAGTAGCCCCATACAACTTTAGGGTCCGTTTTTGCTCAAAATTTTTTGTTTTGGAATTTTACTGGCCAAAGTTGGGATGACGAGTTGCCAGAAGACATCGGAATTAAGTTTCTCGTGAGACTTTCCGGTCTCCCAATTTTAGAGTAACTGACTATTCCCCGTTGATTTTAACAGATCTTGTGGACCAAATTGAGCTTCACATGTTCGGTGATGCTCTCAGGAGGTTTTCTACGTTGTAGGGTTGGTTTTGTGTGTGCGACTCTCCAATTCGCACCAGACTCACAAATCTTTCATCGAGAAGCTCCCGTCGCGCCGATGAAAGCGCTGTTAATACCTATGCTAAAATTCAAGCTGCTCTGCTCGCCACACGACTAAAAATTGATATACTGAAAGCACTTACTTTTATGGTTAATTGTGTATGTGGACGGATAACAATACAGTTATAGAGTAGCTAAACTCATATGACAAGTTACGTTGTTAATCGGGTCGGCGAAATCCTCGAATTGACCACTATTGATGAGTGGCACCATGTTCTGGGCGGCAAAAATCCAGCCGATACCGGTACACGGAGGAATTCTTCGGAAACTCTCAAGAACAGCAGCTGAGTGTTTTGTCCAAGCATTCTTAGTACTACTGCTCGGCCGTTTGTCCGTTTATACTCGACCAACTTGCGATCAATCATTTTCGTTTAAAGTGTCCTGCCTGCCAAATCGGTAACTGCTCGGAGAAGCACTGATCTTTTACCGACGTCACATCCATCAAACATCTAGAATACGGGTTCAACTGGGAAAACATCAGTTCGTTTGTGAGGTATAAAAAAGACGTTGCGTTTATTATGAGGGTGCTACCTTCACATAAACAATTCCGCGGTACCGATTTATAGATCAGCGATCCCGCTAAGCTTGACATTGCACAAAATATTTGACTTGCTCGATGAAATCCTATCCCTATGAGGTGATAACAATCACATCTAGTAAACCTAGTAAGATTACCACATGATCTACATTTCTCGGCCGCGCTGGTACCGTTCGCTCCATCGGCCGGATTGTTCGCTTCGTGAATACCGAGTTTGATACTAAGCACCCAATATTACTCGACACCCGTCATACCCTAGTTGGCTTGTTGTTTCGAAGCCGCCGCCATATGCACTTTCATCAAGACTTAGACTACATGTGCTCAGTTCTGAACATGGTATGTGCAATACTTGTGTTGAGTTCTATCAAAAATCAAAGTTTAATATACCGTAAAGGCAAAACTGGTATCATGCAGCCAGTTATATCCAATTCACCTGTCAAAACTTTCGGATATAAGCAATCACCTTTTAATCAAACGAGCAGGTTCGCAGAAGCAGGGAGAAAAGATGGGGAACTCTTTCAACTTGCCTCACCGCCAGGGCTTTACACCTTGAGATGGTGCCATGTCTGGACGCTAGCTCTTTTGTGATGGGTATTGAACGATTCATAGCACCTAGCACAATCTGGTACACCAAACACAATATGGTCCGATAATGGCACGAACTTCGTTGGTGGGAAAAGAGATTATTTACCTGCATCAAGAACTGGAACGGCATGGAGCCGACACTTTTTACACACAAAGGTGTTGCTTGGAAATTTAAGCGGCCAGGCGCAATCTTTCATGGCAGCTCCTGAGAGCGCCTCATCCGAAGCGTTAATCAAGTACTCTACGACAATCTGCTTTGTTGAGCAGGCTTTGAATTTGAGGCCAATCATTCTTGTTAGCAACAATTCATATGAGTTAGAAGCATTAACCCTAACCCATTTTTTGCTTGGGCAACATTCCACAAGCTTTCCATTCCATCACTTTCACGTGGGGAATACTACGACGACAAGAAACCGTACATAATACACATATCATGTGGCAGACTCAGTCTGGGTTCACTCTTAAGACAGGCGGTCCATCTCGTATGGGACCGATAGTTTGCGTGGGTACTGGCCTCATGTCCGAATCGTTAAGCCAAACTATGGTAGGACGGTTGTTCACGATCCGCTTTTGTTAAGACCGCCACAAGCGAATTCACTCAAGCGACCGTTACGCTCGCTCCGGTTTTTTTCCTGTTTAAAGGCGGAGAATAATCACGCTTAAGTAGCGCGAAAGTGTGAAAGTAAATAAAGACTTGAACAGCGCATAAACTAAAGAAAGAAATTGAAGACATGAACAAAAGAAAAGACCACTTTGCTGAGCTGTCCAGAACAATCAGAGTCCAGAAACAGTAGATTGATTTGGCGTACGTTCGAGTCCCCAGCCTGTCTATGTTTTAATTTACTAAAAAAAGGGTTTGGCACACTATTTGACCGTTTTTAACAACTGTTCTTTGGCTAGCCTTGATTATGGCTGATCGTCTAAAAAGTATTAATTTGCCTTAACTACTTTGTTTTTGGTTCTTGTGGCTAGCTTGCGCCGATTTATATCGTTTTTGGGGCTCATTATTGCTGTTTGATGATGTTATGTTCGAATAAAATTTTGATGAGTTTTTGCCGATAAATTCTTTCATTAATTCAAGCACTTGAACTTTCTTATTTTTACCGATTTACGGAGGTTGAGCTCGCATAGTGCTTGTTCAATTTCGCCAAAACTCGTTAATAGTATATTTTAATATTACATTCTAACATAAAAACTATATTATAGTTATATTGTATTTTATTTTCTTCAGAATTTTTGGCCTGCTAATCAAGTAAGTTTTTTTTTCTGGATTTTATCCAAATCATGACTGGTGATATTTAAGAAGAGTTTTTTTAAATGTCAGTGATGGATTGAGTTGATAAAATAAGGCACCCTTAACTAGAAGCGAATTTAGGGGATAATCAAAACCCTGACGAATCAAATGGTCCCTTTGGTACTATTTTATGACAGCTTTTGTCTCGTTTAACAACTTCACACATCAGGACCATTTAGTTGCTGATCTACAGCCGAGCAGTTCCTTTTAAACATGATACGGGAAACTGGGGAAATGCGTGCTGAATATTTCATTTGATGAAATCAAATCCGCGGTCATTAAACTCGTCATTCCAATTAGCATGGCAGATGTTATTTTTCGTTTGTATCATGAATCAGATCACGAAGGCCTTATTTAGCTTGTCCCCGAAAAGCCATTAACTCAGTTAAAATATTCACATTGTGTTTTATAACCAGTGCCAATATTAGGCATCAATTTGTCTAAAAAACATCAATATGCAGCAGCGAAGTTGGTATATTCAAATTATTCAAATAAATTTTTTTGAAAATATCGAAATTGTTTGTTTCATTTGTTTTTAGTCTGGATTCTTCTAATCTTCTGGTGCATGCTCCAGCAAACAACTGCTAGATACAAGAAACGAACACGAACAGGTTTTGATTTTAATTACATGTTTTAGTGGCTTGAAACAAATTTTTTGGTTGAAGGTATTTTGAAAAATTTAAACTGTTTGGTTTGCATCAAGCGGTAGATTTTTTTGAAACCTTTCATAAACTTCTTTCGCAAAGGGTGTGTTTTCAACTTTATCAAAAACATGTAGGGGCGGATCTAGGATTTTCTCGGGGGGGGGGGTTTAAAATAAAATTGTCGACCTTTTTTTAGGTCGAACCAAATGGATTTTCCGAGCTCCCTCAGAGCCCTGAAGAGCCCCTGTTTTGGCCAAAATGTGTGCTCCGCAGGCAAGATTTAAAAAAATAGGCCAAAAATAGCGTCTTTAGGCAATTTTTGGAAAATTTAAAACAAAAAAACATTACGAGGCAAACTGTGCATTGTAAGCGGAATCCGCAACAGGCCAAAGTCAGATTTGTCGCGGAATCCGCAACACCGCTCAAAATTGCTCAAAATAGGCGAATTTGCGGAATCCGCAACTGTATTTGCGGAATCCAGAACAGTTTGTGGAATCCACAAGCAAATGATAAAACATTTGTATCGTTAAAATGAGCTGTTGCGGAATCCGCAACTGTAAGTGAAATCCGCAAATTGTAAGTGGAATCCGCAAATTGTAAGTGGAATCCGCATTTTGTTTGCGGATTCCCTTGACATAAATTCATATGTGTTGTAGCCTTTAAATTTATATCTTTTAAGTACATGATTTGATTTCACTAGAATAGAAATTTACTATAATAGGAATTTACTAGAGTAGATCAGTATTTGGGGTTAAAGGAATCCAAATTATTGACCAGTATTTGGGATCGATGGAACACCAAATACCGAACAATTTGACGATTTGCTATGCGTTGGGTTTCTAATCACTCTCAACCTAATGACTCCAAATAATGGATGTATTCCATATTTATTCCACATTATTCCAGTTTTTGGGATTTCACCGATCCAAATACTGACCTAAATTGTCGATATGCTGCGTGTTCCATACACTCTCAACTCAATGACTCCAAATATTGAAACTGTTCGGTGTTGTGTTTCCAAAATACTAAAAGATGACATCCACCGGTTTAGGTAACCAATGTCTTAAGACTTGTTCGTGAATTCCGCCGACAAGGTTTAAGTCTTTGCTTTTAAATTCCGCATTGCTAGAGATAAAAATTCCAGCTCAGCTTTTAATTGTTCATATGCAAGTTCATTATTGAACAAATTCGGAATCCACTAACAGTTCGTGGAATCCACTTATATTTGCGGATTCCGCTTACATTTTGCGGAATCCACTTACAGTTGCGGAATCCAGAACAACTAGCTATATATGCTTGTTGCGGAATCCGCACCAAAGCAAATGTGCCGACAAAATTAACGTTGCAGGTATATGTATGCGGAATCCACTGAATTTTGTTTGTGGAATCCACTTACATTTTGGAACATATTTTAAGACTTGTCTCTGGAAACCAGGAACATACAGACACAAAATTGTGCTCCTATCCAGTGCACAGCTTAGCCTCATAATGAAGTCGCGTTTTTACGGCGCGCGCTCCCCCCAAAAAATTAGTATATCCCCCCTAAATCTGCCCCTGAAAACATAGTATCTTTCTAAGTTCTTTTAGCCATGATTCGCATTCTGAAACAACGTTTGTGTTGAGAGCAGGGGCAGCAGATTTAGGGGGGCGGGGGTCTGACGCCTCTCCTTAGGGATTCGACCACCTGCCGACCCAAAGGTACTCTTTTGTCTCCGCTTTGTACTATTTGAGATATCCATTTTTGGCTGACGGAACCTAAAATCTTCTATCGGCGCCTTCGGCGCCAATATATATATTCTAATTGTGAAGGGGGACCGCGCGCCAAAAAAACTCGGTTTTTGGTCAAAGTTTTCGAAAAAGTGCCTAAAAACGCTTTTTTGGCCAGTTTTTTTTTCAAAATTTTGCCTGCGGCGCAGAAATTTTGATTTGGCCAAAACATGGTCTTTTTAGTGCTTTGGGAGAGCTCTGAAAATCAACTTGATAGACCTCAAAAAAAAGGTCGACAAAATTTTCGAAGTTTTTTTGAAAATCCGCCAACCCCTCTCATCCATCCCCCCCCCCCTCGAGAAAATCCTAGATCCGCCGCCACCTGGTTGAGAAAAATTGATTTTTGGGTTTTGAAACTGAATGAGCAGACAGTTTCAACAAAAGCTAACCACCAAACTTTATTTCACTACAATTTTATTGTTATCTTGGCTATTATAACTACTCCTTTTCATTTTCTTCAATTGATTCAATTGCCTCGTATAGAAAAAAGCATGAAATAATAATCTGCAAACCATAAAAATTTTCAGCCACAAATGAAATCTTAACAATTTAACTTGAACTAAATCTATTAATCAAATTAATTTGGAAGTGATCTCGTTAAAACCGTTGTTTTGTGTTAAAAGTCTGTGTTCAGGTGAACCAGAAAGTAACAAATCTGCAGTTTGATTTTTTCCATACATACACCAAGATTGTTGTCACAAAAACACCATAAACCGTAACAACATTGATTGTTCAAACCATGTGACGACCTTAGTCGGGTCTGTTCACGCTGTTTATTCGCGCGAAGGGTTCAGCGCTGTTTGATTCATTAGTGGTGCTCGTAAAATAATTATCTACCAGAGCTTTTTTTGACCGAAATAGTTGGTCAACCGCTATGATTTAAATCAAAAACGCAAACTTGGACAGCCGATTCGGTCTGTCCATCAATCGAGAATTTCAAGGTTTCGACGGATTAAAGTTTCCTTCTGTTCAATTTGAATTAATTAATTTTTGAGAAATTATTAACTCATTTTTACTGAGGTAAGCAACTCATTTTTTCTCACTTTTTCTGTTTTTCAAGCATTTCGCTTTTTGAATTGTTGTTAATTTTTGAATAGCATGAGGTTGGCATAAGAATAACCGCCATGATTTTGGACAGCCAGAGATTTTTTCTGCTCTCGTTAAGACTTTTTTAAACCTTAGCTTTAAGTTTTTTAGACAAAAAGCGTTGAGAAACCTGGCAACTACTGGCAGTTGTGAGAGACTCAAAGCTGATGAGCTTACTGCGGTGCAACTGTTTCAACAATTTTTGAAAAGTTTTATTGAAAAAAAGCAATCAATGAAAGTTTTTGAATTGCTCTGGCCCTGTCACGAACTGGCTGAATGGAATTTATGGTAATTTTTTTGACCGATTTTGACCTGCTCAGCGATAGCCTCTAGTGAGAGTAGTTTTTTTTATTTTCACCGCAAAATCAGCTTCCACAAATAATCATCCGAGTGAGTTGAGTGATATATCATATTAACGCCTTCTCAGTCGTGGTTCGAACAACATTTAAAAGTTTTCAGTTTTGATTCTCGTAAAATGGATCTCGTAAAATTATAACAAAAGGGGAGGGACCCTTTGGAAAAACTTAGCAACCAGAATTGAAATAGGGATAGTCGCCCACACCCTTTTGGTACGTGCCAAGTGGTACTATAATTGCGATAGAAGCAGTGCCGTTTTGTGTTAAAAATGTGTTGGGAAAACTATCCATATGACAAAAACGCTGCGCGCTCTTTTCATTTTATGTTATTAGTTCGAGTTTTTTAGATTCGTTTCAAGTTACTCGGAGGATGAAATCGTTACCAGCCGACAGTACTGATTACGACTACGACTATCACTTCGCAAATCCAGGTATTTATTTATTTTACCGCTATGGAAATTCTCCCTTTTTGAAGCGTGTGTACTGCGGGTCGCCCGCATTTAAGAAAAGTGAAAACAAATCGATTCAAATGGATTTTCGTGGTCTATAATGTTGTAAATATAAAATATAATCGATTCCCATGTTACGTGCTGACAACAAAATTGAACTAAAAAAAAGATTTAAATCCATTTTTTCTCGGCAAAACAAAATGCATTATAATTCATTTTGAATCCATTATTATGGATTTTATAATAAGTAGGAAATCACATTGAAATGGATTTTTTCCACTTTAGTTCTGTTTCGCGCGTCGTGCAAAATTTTGCAAGAATTTTAGCATTTATCAAGTAAGTGATGCGGAAACTTTGCAAAGCGAGTGTACGGCCTGGCCTAATCTATTTCAAAACCTAAACTCAAATTGCAAAAAGGTTCCGTTGAGGTCTCCCCCCTCCTCCAACGTTTGCCCCTATGTTCCCCTTCAACCTCCTAATCTCCCTAATGTTTGCCCCTTACTCCCCCCCCCCCCCCCCCCGCTGAACCCCCCACCTGAACACCCCCCGCCTGAACAACCCCCCCCCCCACCTGAACCAACATACCCCCCCCCCCACCTGAACCCCTCCCCCATCTGAATAAACCCCCACCTGAACCCATCCCCCATCTGAATCCATCTCCGCCTGAACCCAACCCCCCCATCTGAATCCATCTCCACCTGAACCCAACCCCCCCATCTGAACCCACCCCCCACCTGAACCCACCCCCCACCTGAAACCCACCCCCCCCCCCCACCTGAACCCTCCATCTGACCCCCCACCAACACCTGAACCCAACCCATCTGAACCCGTTACGTTGGGGTGGAGGGGGTTTGTTGTAAATGGGCAAACGCTAGGGGGGGTAATTTTGAGTAATATAAAAAAAAGTAACAAAAATGTCAAAGTTAGAAAAAAATTCAATTGAACAACAAGTAACCAACGTAACCAACTTAATTTAAAACATAGAAAAGACTTCATGTGCGTTGAAATTCGCATCTCAGTAAAGTGGAAAAAATCGATTATAGTTTTCGTTGTCAGTGTCCACAAAAGTGAAAATATATCGATTATAATGGATGAAAAAAGGATTTTGTTGCCTCGAAAAACAGTAACATTGTAATCCATTTTTAATTGATTATAATTGAGTTGTTTTCACTTTTGTGGACACTGACAAGGAAACTCAATTATAATCGTTTTTATTCATGGAACCCAATGCGGGGATGCTTTGGCAATTTCCAAAAACTTTACGAGGCCAAACTGTGCACTGTGTATTTAACTATACACCTGTCTTATTTTTTGTTTGTCGACTCCACAAACTGTTTTGAGTTCCGCAAATAAGGCTGCGGATTCCGCAAATTCGTCTATTTTTGGAGCGATTTTGAGCGGAACAGTGTTTTAAGTATTTGTTTGTGGAATTCATAACAGCAAAGTAGATCAAAGAAAAGTAGCAATGATGAGGATTAGGCGACAAATCTGATTTTGTCCTGTTGTGGAATCCGCGTACAATGCACATCCGCACCGGAGTTCCCTGGATAATCGATTATAAAGGAAAAATGGTGTCTAAAAGTTTGTCATCATAATCCATTATTGTCGCAAATTTAGATCACGTAATCGATTATATTGTCATTGAAAAAAGTTGTATATTTTATGACTAACCTCTCGAAAAAATCCATTACAATCGATTATAATTGTTTATAATGGAATATTTTGCCTCTAAAACAAGTTTCTTTTTCTTTCAAAAATAATCAATTTTAATCGATTATAATAGATTATATTCGGATTTTATTGATGAGAAAAATTGTTTCATTACAATCCAATTTTAATCGATTATAATCGATTATTATCGAAACTTATTGAGACAGACCACGAAAAATCAAAAAAATCGATTCTTATTCATGGAGCTCCGGTGCGGGCAGAATGCACAGTTTGGCCTCGTAATGAAACTCGGGTCGGTTACAGCATAAAAAAACACTCCAAAAACCGCTGTGTTTTTTGTTCTGCTTAAAAGGGATTTAGGAAACACGTTTAGAAGCAATTTTTGACGGGTTTCGAATAAGCTAATCACTTTTACGAAAGTAACGTGGGTTGATTACATCCGGGTTGACCATGTCGCTGAAGAATATCGCATTTGATCAAAAATACATTGAGCCCCCCCCCCCCCCCCCCCCCCTCGAGAAAATCCTATATCCACCACTGATATGATTCATGATAAAATGGAAAAATGTTTTGGTTGAGCGTCATGATCAGAGCAGATGATCCCTTGGGGGAAAAAGAAACTCTCTAGACCATAACATACTCTGCAGGTTTTGGAAAAAATCCATAACTACCCCAAAATGATTATCCTTCAAACCAAATTTTGATGATACTTCGGAAATTAGTCTTTTTTTAGATTGGTCGCGCATTTGCCTCGAAGACAGATTTGAGGTTGAGAGGCGCCATTTGGAAAACTTCCTGATGAACAATTCCAATACAAAAGCCACTCTCCTCTCTTTGGGATGTTCTAAGTATGACCATGAATTTCTTCACGCGATATACGAGAACAAGTTCAAAGACCAGTTATTCGAAATCGAATGCGGAGGTGTGACGTCATTTTTATGGTGGAACTCCAATAATAAAGATGCAATTAAAATGTCAGTCTCTCCGACAATACCAACCGAAGCTGAAATAAACAGAGCACATGGTGAAACGGATGAGATGTGAGTGAAAAAGGGAGACTTTATGATGAAAAGCTGGATTAAAAACGAATCTAATTTAAATCAGTTGAAGCAAAGCATGCAGAAAATAATAACGATTGATATTAAAGGATGGTATTAAAATCATTCGCAGAGCTGGGTTTTCTCATACTTGTTTTGGGAAAATGTCATAGAAAAAATTTTTAAAGAAAATATCTCAAGACATGCAGAGGCGTGAGCAGAAAATTTTAGCGCTGGAGTTCGAAACTTTTGTGGACTTTTCATAGTTCAGATTAGTTTTCCGATAAATTTTTGAAGAAAATGACAGATTATGAGCCCGGGTAATTTTTTCTCTTCACACATTTTGACTTTTTAATCTGCCATTTTTGACGGAATTTTTTTATATCAGCCAAAAGATATTGTTCTTCTGAGCTAAATTTAAAAAAGATATTTCACCTGTGAATATTTCTCGTAAAGGTAAGGGAACTTAAAGATTGCCAATTTGGCCAACTTGGGACAACAAAAGC